CTTTCTGATAGCAGTTTCTGATACCATTGTCATGAGATTGTCTGATAGGGTTAGGCCGTTGATTATTATTGTTCTGAAAACTTTTCCTTTTGTTAGAGTGTCTGCCAGGTTCGTTAGTTTTCAAACTTTGTTTTGGTTTGGCCTTTAGAGTTTGTTTTTCTGGTATGACCTTCTCATGAACAACTTTAGTACCAGAAGTACTAGCATGGCAATTGGGGCTCAGAGTCTGTGGCACTATGACCTTTTTAGCTTTAGCAACCCGGGTGCTAGGCCTTACAGAAGGCTCACCAGACTCTGGTTCAACATATCCAAGGCCAGAGGTGAAGTTATGAGAGTCACCAATATTCTTCATGGAAGATTGCATCCTCAGAAGGCTATTATATCTACTCTCAAGTTCCTTGATGTCTCTTATTCTTTTCAGAAGAGACTCATTTTCAGCTTTCAGTCTATCTCTTTCCTCAGTTAAGAGATTAAGTTTACACTCAGTCTCTTTCCTTAGATCAGAGATATCAACTTTCAACCTACTGTTCTCTTCTTTAACAAAAGAATAAGTGGCTTGGATAGTTTGGAACTCTTCCCAAAATGATGACATTGGATCATCATTTAAGGCTGTGCCTACCGAAGAGGAAATAGAATTAGAAGTAGAGCATACCTCATCATCTGATTGTGCCATGAGGCAAAGGTCTTCAGTTTCTGCATCCAAGCAGCAGAATGCTTCATCAGAGTCGGAGTCTGAGCTGGACTCTGATTCAGAGAGTGGATCTCTCTCAGCTTGTTCTGAGACAAATGCTCTTCTTCTTCTGTGTTGATCATCTGGTTTCTTTTCATCTTCATGTCCTTGCTTCTTGGACACTCTTGGATAGGGGCAGTTTGCTTTGAAGTGCCCAGGCTGTCTGCAGTTGTAGCAGAGGTACTCTCCATTGCTTTCAGAGGACTTGGTCTTCTGATGTGGTCTTCTGATGGAAGATGGACTCCTTCCATCTTTCTTCATAAACTTCTTAAACTTTCTGGCAAAAGCAGCCATATACTCATCAGATAACAGAGTAGAAGGGTCAAAGTCACTTACCTTTGAGGTGCTAGCAGTGAGAGCAGTGGTGGTCCTCTCATCAGGAACTTCTTCCTTCTCTTCATGCATCTCAAACTCATAAGCCTTGAGATCAGAGATGAGTTTCTCAGTGGCATAAGTCTTGATGTTCTTGCTTTCCTGGACTGCAATCACTTTCATCTTCCAAGCTGAAGGCAGTCCCCTGAGGATCTTCATGTTGACCTCTTTGATGGTGAGCTCCTTCCCAAGCTCAGAAATCTCACTGATGAGAATCAGCAATCTCTCATGCATCTTAGCAATGCATTCTTCTGGTAGGAGTTTGAAGTCATCAAACTTCTTCATTGCAATGGTCAGCTTGTTGTCTCTTTCTTGTTCATCTCCTGCTCCAATCTCATCCAGCTTATCCCAGATTTCTTTGGCAGTTCTGCACTTCTTGATCCTGTTGAAGTATCTTTCATCAATAGCCTTGTAAAGAATGTCCTTGGCTATATTATCTAGGTTGTACTGCCTTTTCTCTTCCTTGGTCCATTCTGACCGGGCTTTCTCAATCATCTGGGGTTGGGAGTTGTCAATAGAGTGAGCAGGATTGATCTTCATGAACTGGATGAAGGGGCCATTTTCCAAGACTTCCCACATTTCATCATGAAGGGCACATAGATGTGCCTTCATTCTGATCTTCCAATCATCATACTTCTGATCTGTGAACATCAGATGCTTGGCAAGAGAGTTATCCATAATAACAATTAAATAGAGGCTAAGAACAAGTGGATCTTTGTTCAGAGAGTAACCTGAAAGATTACAAGAACAAGGAGGCTCTGATACCACTTGTTGGTCCCGTTTAGTATGGTAATCAGTCTAGAGGGGGGGGTGAATAGACTGATTGGTTTTTCAACTTTTTCTCAAAGTCAAAACTGACTTATCAGAGAAGGTCTGATAATGATGATAGAGAGAGGCTGGTTCTGATATCAGAACTGGCCTTGGCAGCGGATTCTGATCTGTCCGGGTAGCCTCAGAAAAATACTAAGGCAAATGCCTTTCTGATAACTCTGAAAACAAGATCTGCTGAACACAGATTCCAAGTCTTAGAGTTAATCAGTTAATATCCTAAGTGCAGAAATAAATTGCAGTAAAGTAAATGACACCGGATATTTTATAGTGGTTCAAGGAACAACTCGTTCCTCTAGTCCACTGTTCCACTAGCTTTGAAGTAGATCAGTTACAAAGCTAATTCCTAGCACTTAAGAAGCACTCCTCGTCTTCTTCAAGCCTAGATGCCACCCAGGATGCAATTCCACGTCCTGATGGCTGGTCCTTTCACTCAGCTTCCCGGAAGTATCACCACTTCACCACTGCAGTTACTTGGACGCCCTTCTTTTCAGAAGATCCTTTGAAAAACAGAGTTTTTCCTCCAACTTGCTTCGTTACAAATGATGTTTGATGAAGTTCTTGAAGTGTTGAAGAACAGGATGAACTTTGCTTGTTTGTTGGGGATGAGAGATTTGGAGTTTGAGTCTTCCCAACGTAAGCTTGTCTTGTTGAAGGCTGTAGAATTTGAATCTCAAGAGAGCTTGAATGATGATGAGCAAAAGTTGTAGCAAAGTTGTCTTCCTTGTTCTTCTTCGTGTAGCTTATATACGGAGGTTGTCTGCCCGTTGGAGGAGGAGACAACTGCATTAAATGCGCGTACTGTTGACTTGACCGCCGTTTTGGAAGGTTTCTATTTTTATAATATATCTTCCCGGATTCCTTGGTCAATCATTTGCAATCAATCCTTCAGCGTATCAGGCTCATTTAATGTGCATTAAATGCTTTCCTTTCATGCACAGTCTTCTAGCCGTTGGATGTTTTACCCGTTGGATTCATAGCTGTTGGATGTTGCATGAAATCTTCTAAGTGTTAGTCGGGCTCTGATCAGGCTCTTCTGATATGTTGGATTCTGATGGCTATCTGATGAGTTGAGTTCTGATGGTCTTCTGACTGAACTCTGACTCTGACTCTGATAGGTCCGCTGATGAGTACCTCTGATCTGTAGTTCTCATCGGCTATCAGATGTTCAAGTTTATCAGCAACTCTCATAGGTGCAACTCTGATGGACTTCTGGTAAGAGAACTCTGATGGAGCAGTTCTCATAGAGCAAGTCTGGTAGAGCAGTTCTGATGCACTTCTGATCTGATCCAAAATAGAGCAACTCTGATCGTCGACTACACTAATACTTACAGCTGAAAATTCTAATACATAAAATCTAATTTGGGGGTACTTTAAAATTCTAATCCTATAGCATCATCAAAATCTAATTACATTTATTCCTTACAGTTCCCCAAGGGGATGGTGTTGGGGTTTACCCATTTGTTTGCCTTCGGCGGAGGCCCTTGATGGATAGTCTACCCGGGGGGTATCTTATCCGAGGGGTTATTGCGGGAATAACTTAGAGAGAAGTCAGAGCAAATAGGAGGAGAGAGAGTCGGTTTTATTAAATGAACTCGAGATGTGGAGTTGAGATGTAGATTATGTTGATTACAAGGAGAAATGGGCTGCTATTTATAGCAGCAATAAATGCGATGAGAGGACACGTGTCAGTAATCCAACGGCCGAAGGGTCACATCAGCCTGGTGGCACCGGCAGTGGTACGTCAACCGCATTGAATGCGGTTGGCGGATGTGACGTGGCATTAAATGCGGTGGTTGGCTGTCTCTAAAAGGAATCTTCGATGATTGAGCTTGTTCAGCCGAAGGCTCCTCGTGTAGCCGAGGGCTCCCTGCGTAGCCGAGGGCTCATTGTGTAGCCGAGGGCTTCTTGTGTAGCCGAAGGCTTGGTTCAGCCGAAGGCTTCCCCTGGTGCTGAGGGCATGAGAATGCCGAAGGCTCATGTCTTCGCCCGTTTTCTCCCAACAGCTTCTTATGCCAGAGAAGGCTATCCTGTGAGTTTTGGAGCCTTCGGCCAAGGAGGCCGAAGGCACCCCAGTGTGTATTCTGGGCTACTTTGAAGCTTGGGCCGTTGTATTTGGGCCTGAATTGTTCTCTGGGCTCAACGGACTTGTGTAGGAGAAGTAGGAGTCTATGGGCCGGGGGTTCCTGGGCCATATACTCCATCAGCCTTATTTATGAGGCTCTGTCCGGCCTTCGCCATTTGGGTTGGTTCTCGGTGGAATTTTTTGATGAAATTTTTTGACCATCTTATTCAGTAAGTCTAGTTTACTCATACCCAATTTCAGCTAACAATTCAATCAAGAAGGCATTCAAATGAATTCTTGAAGATAACTGCGCAATTATCTTCAACAATTCATTTGAATGCCTTTCCCGATTCAAGTTTTAGCTGAAATTTGGTATGAGTAAACTATACTTACTGAATAAGATGCTCAAAAAATTTCATCAAAACATTCCTCCGGGAACCACCCCAAATGGTGACGGCCGGACAGAGCCTCTTAAATAAGACTTTATTTAACCTTTTTTTGGTTAGTACGTGACCTTATTTGCACTTTTTCTCGATTTTAAATAATGCTACACTTTATTTCTTTGAAAGTTTAAATTTACTACACTTTCCATTTTTCTATATTTTTTCCTTAAAAGTTCTCAATTATTCTTACTTTATTTTACTCCCTCCGTTTCTAAAAGAAAGTCACGGTTTGACTTCACGATTATTAAGGAAATAAATTGACTTTACTGTAGAAAACACTGTTTAGACACTGTTTGAACACTGTTTGGCACTGTTTGGCACTGTTTGGCACTGTTTGGATGTAGATTTCTTTGCCAAATAAGGAAATAAGAGAAGTGTGACTTTTATTTTGGCACATCCAAAAAAGGAAAGTGTGAGGTTCTTTTAGAAACGGAGGGAGTACTTTTTATCTTCTCTTTTATATTTTTTTTATCTGCTGTACTACTATTTCTAGGATATTTCATTATTTCTACTATTGCTTCCTTAAATGGTGTGCCCAAAAGACTGTAGAGAACTAGAGAAGTTTCAAATACTGTGGGAGCATAGAATTTGTCTGAAAAAGTCAACTTGAATAGAACCGGAGTCTAACTAAAATCACTCACCCATCCACCCACCCACCCACTCCCACCTACCCAACATCCACTCCAGCCCTATACTCCCTTCACCCCACCCTCATCCCCACCCCCACCCCTATCAGACCAGACACCATCTCTTCGTTCATGGGGAAAGGCTCGTAATTTTCCACATCTGCCTCAAGAAATTCACGGTATGCGTGTTAAATTCATTCGCTTTTTCTTCAAAATTTTAAACCCATGTTTTGAATCCTCTTTGCAGCACTTGTCTTGTTTATAGGCATGGTTTGGGGGTTAGATTGGCAATTTCATATCAAAGTCACGCCTTTAGTGTTGGGGTGGGTTTCAATTTGCTTTGTTCTGTAGATCATTATTATTTTCGTTGTTATTATTTTGTTATTTGGTGCTAACTCCTTGATTGATATTTTGGAAAATGATGACAAAAATCGAATTCAAGTGGGAAAGAGATTAGCTCTCTTTGAGTGAAGCTGTGAAATTTTAGGCGAAGAGAAACAAGATTAACACCTAAAGTGGTTATTTTCGGGTAAAAGAGCTATTTCAAAGACATCCTTTTCTTTCTTTTTTGTATGCCTGTTAAGTTATACATTAACTATAAAGGAGCAGCTCAGGAATTCAATTTTCTGTTTTCTAAATGTGTCCGTTGTAAATCCATTGAGCAAATGTAGATGCTTTTTTTTCCTGTTTATTGTCAGTATTTATTTATATTATTATACATATTTTTTCATGCCTACAGAAATGAAGTGAAAGGAACGTCAGGTGTAAATAATTCGTGTGTATGCCAGCTCAAGAATCATCAAATATTTGCTTCATTTCAGCCTTTTTATGATTATGATGATCTTCAATCATTCTGGAATTAATAACATTACTCTGAAATCACATCCGGGTGGAGTTTTTGTTTGGTCCCTTTAATTGCTATTAATCTATATAAGTCGAGAGTGAATAGTTTCTAGTCCCAGACCACTCCCCGATATCATGAGGGAAGAGAATGGCTTCTTTATCGTCAGGAAAGGAGATCTCGTAGGCGTTTACAAAAATTTGAGTGATTGCCAAACTCAAGTCGGATCCTCGGTAATGCATCGTATTTCAATTGTCTAAACATGAAAGTATATACTTCTTATACGGGCATGCCTTTGTTTCTAGAAGGCTCTGACTTGTATTTCATTGACAGATATGTGATCCTCCTGTTAGTGTGTATAAAGGCTTCTCTATGCCTAAGGACACAGAAGAGTATCTTCTTTCATGTGGGCTTAAGAATGCTCTTTACTCCATCAGAGCGCAAGATCTTACTGAAGATCTTTTTGGAACTTTGGTGCCATGTCCTTTTCAAGTGAGACATAGTATTTCTTTATGCAATTTCTATAGTTACTCCATTTATTTATCTTTTTCATTAAGTGGTCATATAAGTTGCTGGCTGTTTTGCTTAAGCCTTAGCTATTAGAGTCATGCAATCGATTTGTCACTAAGAATCTAGAACAACAAACAATGGAGTTCAACTACTTCTATGGTTTCTGACTGGAATAACAAAATGTAGGGCAATGGCACACATCTCTTGACTTTTTTTTCCATTTTGTCATAATAAAATGAATCTGCACTTTCTTCTTGACATCTTGGCATGACAAACTCTTCTGTTCTATGTTATAAATTCTATTAGCATCTTCTCTAATATGCATATGCTTTTAATAAAACCATATACTTAAATTTGGAGTGCTGAACAGGGTTGTTCAACCTTCTCCTCAATTTTTTAATTCCACTAAAAGAAAGATATTTGGTAATTTGGCCCATTTGGGGGTAGGGTTGGGGGTGGGAAGAGAGTTACAATGGCATCATGTCATGTTTTCCATGGAGTAGAGATGCTGGACAGCCGGAGTTTCTTTTAGATTAGAATTTAGTGCATGTGGGGGAAGGGGTTGAGATGTCATTATCTTTTTCATCTTTCAGACTTTAAAAATATGGTTGCCTTTATTATTAACATTTTCTTTCTTCAGCAACCTTCTTCTTCCAAAGGTGGACCATCAAATGAACACATGCCAAAGAAAAGGCCACCGGAAGCAATGTGGCCAGACTATGCCGTAAGTTAAACTTGATATTCTGAAAATATGCCATGGGTAGGCATTTAAGTTTAGGTCTGGAAGCAGCAAATACCACCCCTAACATCTAAACAGTATTAAATTGGGAGAGTTTATTTTCCTGGTGGAGATTGCTCAGTAGTTGGAGGATAAAGCGTAAACCTTGAATTTATAAGGAATACTAACCTCCATCCCTTGTAGGTTTTCAACCTTTGACTAGAACATGGATTAATAAAATGAACTTTTGGTTGAGACCTATTTAGAAGAGAGAAACCATACTAACCTGAAATTTCTGTCCTCGAAAAAATGGCAATGCTTTTTTGGATGGCCAAATTATGAAAGTTGTCGAATGAGTTGAATCTTTTATGGAAGAAGTAATAAATATAGCTTCAGTTTTCTTATCACATCTGTTTTGTACTTGCACATGTAGGAGTAGGCATGGGTGCATCTTGAAGGAGGCCAAGAACTTCGTCCTTAAAGTTTCATGGGTTCATAAAAATTGGGAAAACCAAGATTAAGCGTCCATGATCCATAACGATCATAAAATGCTGTGAATAGAAAACAGTAGACATTTGGAAGGAGAGAATATGTTGAGGAAAATAAAGCATTGATTCAAAGTTGATAAATTAATGATTAATAAATGTTGGAATTCATTTCTATTTATATTATATAAATATAAATACTAAGAGATCTAAACACATGTAAAACACGTTAAAATAGTAATTGTATTTCGCTTGCCTTTATGTTATATTAGATTCAAACATAAGTAACTTTCCTTGGCACTTTCTTTCATTATCTAGCATATCCCAAAACCCAAATATAGCATATTTGTGTTATAGCATATGCTACTTCCCTACAACGAATATGGATGACGGATTACTACTATGATTAGGAGTAGCTTTTATTTTCTAAAATAATAGACCTGCAGTGTTTGGGAATACTGATTCAACTTTTACATTTTTACCCCTGTGTTTCTTTTCAGGATGCTGTTGGATCAGCAATTATGTCAAATGATTCGCTAAGAAAGCATGCCAAGTTAGAACATAAGGGGGATCCAGCTATATCACCCAGTGTGAGTGGCTATTGTGATGGTTATATGCAAAAAACAACTGTAATCTACATACCTAGGCTCATATGTATTTGTGAAATTTGGGAGGTCTCCAAACACAAAATTTTTCTGAATTTGCTACACTAATGGTGAAAACAAAACTCTGTGGAGTGAACTATATCGGTTAGCTCATACAGATGTGGTATTTTAACATGCTGCATATGAACATGATGATCTTTCTTCTCTGTAACAGCGCTCTTGTTCCCTTGAGTTTGATGGCACTTCAAAAGGAAATCCTGGACCCGCTGGGGCAGGGGCGGTGCTTCGAGCTGATGATGGAACTTTGGTAATTAATTCCTTTTCATCGCAGAATCCATAGTTTTTTTTGCATTACTACTCAATCAAAAAAGATGAGTGTGGGTGAGATGCGCATGTTGCGGTGGAGGTGTGGACATACTAGAAACTACCGCTTGAAGAACGAGATAATTAGGCAAAAGGTGGGAGTAGAACCTATTGAAGATAAAATGTGAGAGCCTTAATTCCGGTGGCTGGAAGATAAAATGTGAGAGCCTCAATTCCGATGGCTTGGCCATGTGCGTAGAAAACCAAGTGATGCACCTGTTAGACAAGTTCAAAGGTAGAGAGAAGAGGCGGGGAGGGGAGGGAGAGGAAAACCCAACTAGGCATGAATGATATGATACTTCTTGGGCTGGATGAGAGTTTGAATTGGGAAAGAGTAAAGTAGAGAGCAAATATTCATGTGAAGGATTGATCTCATTCGATCTTTTTTACCTTTTTTCCTTTTTGGATTGATACTTCCAAAATGATTTCCATCATTTGCAATGGAGCCAAAGACTTACTATTTTTTTCGCTTGAGAATATGATAGAATAAAGCAAAAATGACTCACTAAACTGTTTGCGCTTCTTTGTTATGAAGCCGTAGTCAGTCCATGCAATTTTCGACGCGATTTTCACCATGGGTCATTCAGAAACAATCTATGTGTGCTTTAGTTTAGGGGTAAAGCTGCATACATTCAACCCCGTTACCCCAACGTAGGTGGGAACCTTTGTGGCACTGGGGTAAATGAGTAATGATGATCTCATCTGTAGCTTTATCTTATCTTTTTAATCCTTTTTATCGTTTTTTTTTGTTATCTTATTTACCTTATATCTTTTTTTTATATCATTTTTAGCTCTGATTTCATATGTGGATTCATATTAGCCGACTCCAAATTCTTTTTGGACTAAGGCTTGGATGTTGTTGTATTACTCATTCGAAGCTAAATCATCATTACAGGTTTGCCGGCTTCGGGAAGGTTTGGGCGTAGCAACAAGTAGTGTAGCTGAATATAGAGGCTTTATTTTAGGGTTAAAATATGCACTCAGCAAAGGGTTTCAAAGTGTTCGTGTTCAGGGTGACTCTAAGCTTGTTTGTATGCAGGTTTGCATGTTACTTTTATCCATTCATCATTCTTCCTTTCTTCTTTTCCTAATGCAGTTCATGTTTGACTTTCTATGATATAGATCCAGAATCTGTGGAAAGTTAAAAACCAAAACATCTCAACCCTATATGAGCAAGCAAAACAACTGAAGGAACGGTTCATTTCCTTTCGGATAATTCATGTTTTGCGGGTAAGCCAAAAAATAAAACTTTTTCATGACTAATTTGCTGTTTTGCTCACCTTATTCTGTTTGCTTATTTCTTGTTTTTATTCTAATTAAACCAGACCAAATTAGAAAGGTTCAGATCAGAAAGACTAGATATTCTAACTTAAACAAGAAAATGAGAAAACATTAGTTAGATCAATGTCGTCAAACTAGACTAGAATTATTCAGACCAGACTTAAAAGATTCAGACCAGATCACTTTCTAAAAGTTCCATATCAGTATATTTAGGTGAAGAGAACGAATCCTAAATGTGAATGTTCTCTTCTACCTTGTTGATCTCACTTTCTCTACAATAGACCTATTATGCCTTTTTGGTAAATAACCTATTAGGGCTGTCTGGGGTTGGACACGGGCCGGGTCAGAGTAAAAGAGGAACTATAATCTTAACCAGGTTAACTGGTTCCAGTTTTTAGCCTATTTAACAAAACAGAACCAGTCGGCTCAGGTCCCATTTTGGAGGAACCAATTTGGACAGATTTCTGCCCGGATACAAAAAACGGGCACCAGCTTATTCCGTTTACCCGCTTTAAGGCCAGCTGCGCTCATTTCAAAATGTTTTTTTTGTAGGAGTCCAACTCAGATGCCGATGCACAAGCAAGCATGGGTGTTGATCTTCCTGGTACGATTACTACATTGTGGGATCTTTGTTATCTTTTCAGAACATTTCATCAAATATTGTTGTTATTCTGTCTGTTTATGCAGAAGGCCAAATTCAAGAGGAAATTGACAAATAGTCCAGGAGATCAATTTTAGGCCCAAATCCAAAGAACGCAATGACATACACAGAAAAAGGTTTTTATATTTAGCGGTTTGACTTTCAAGCTTTTCTGCTGCAATAGGTGGTGGTTGCACATCCCTTTTTGCATGCATGAATGTATCTTTTTGTCCAGTTTTGTTTGATGTTACTAAAATCTGAGATGTAATTTTATTGAAGTAGAGCTTAGAACCGGCATTAATAACACAGAAACTTTTGGTAGATGTAATGTAATTGTATTGTGTCACTTGCCATTTGGGTAGGATGTAGGAGGACTTGATATCATATCTCATTCATTGATGTAATAATATTCTCTATTTCTCTAGGAGTTCCAATGAGCTAGGCCGAGCTCAAATGAACCTAATAGTTTTGGCTCGAACTCGAGCTTGGCTCAAGCTTGGTTTGAGCTTGGCTTGAAGTGATATTATACATGCTACTATTAATATTATATTTATACATACTAATAAATAAATAATACTAGTAGCTAATATATGTATTTTATTGCTCTCCTTTTTATTAGTTCATCTCTCCATTAACATTTTGACTCCTTATTTTACTTTCAATTAAATTTTGGTATAATTAAATAAATAAATAAAATGAATAAATGAGCGGCTTGTTCGTTTGCACCCAATCATCCAATATTCTCCAACTTACCCCCCTCTTTGGTATCGAACTTTGTTTCCATTTCCTTGTCAATTTCCAAATAAGCATCCACTTCCAGTATTTGGTAGATAACAAATGCACTGCTAAAAATGGGAGAAGTACAAAACTACATATACCCTTGAATGTTATCGGTATTCGGTAAGGGGTGGGGACACATATGCCCCACGATGTCTAGTTAGGCTGCTTAGGCATGGACCTGGGTCAATAAGTCGGGTACTTGATCTTTGCACAGAACCGGAAAACTGACCCAAATCAATCCCGCTCAGTACTAGACTCGGTTCTTGACCGGTCGGATTGCCATATTGGGTCCATGCCTATGTATAGACGTGTAGTTAAGGTCCCGAAAAAAATGATTACACCCCATTTGTAAAGGTCCCTTGGATCGGCCACACAATTGTCTGAAAGAATGCAGATTGAGTTTTAATAACACGTTGATGAAAAAAGAGTGGTTTCAACCCAACTCTTTGCTTGGAGTTAAACTAGGGATGGCCTCGGGCCGGTTCGGGCCTAGGCCCGGCCTGGCCTCGGTTCAGAAAAATGAGGCCCGAGCCCGAACAGGTGGTGGGCGGTTCCGGGTCCGGGTCCGGTTCCGGGCCAGACCGGGCTGGGCTGGGCCGCCCGGATTTTTAATTTTTTTTTTCTTCTTCTCTTATTTAACCCCCTACCCCTCCTCCTCCACCCCAAACCACCTCAAATGGCCCAAAATACCTAATCCAACCCAAAACTTTAAAAAATTTCAAAAAAAAAATTAAATTAAATTCCGGCCCGAACCGGGCCCGAACCGGCCGGGCCGGTTCACCAAAACATAGGCCCGAGCCCGAACCGCCCAAAGGCCAGGCCGGTTCGACCCGAACCGCTGGGCCCACCGGTTCCCGGGCCGGGCCGGGCTCAACAATAACCGGGCCGGGCCGGTTCCGGGTCGGGCCGCCCGGCCCGAGTCCATCCCTAAGTTAAACGCAAATCTCTCCCTCGTTACATCCCTTCCCACCCGGTGAAAAGGCCAACCGTGTGCCATATTTTGAGAATGTCCACAAAGTCATTTAGGGATGTATGCCAAGGGCCTGTTTTCGCTGCTCACAGATTCAAGAGATGATGTAATTTGCAACCCTCATACAAGGCAGCACATTTCTCTTCCAAGAATATGTGTGAATAGCAGTCCCCTTGAATTGAATTGTGAGCGGTTGGGTTTTGATCCAGTCTTGAAAAAATACAAGCTTTTGAAGTCCGTATGGTATTCTGAATCCGGGAATCGTATTGTTAATGGTTTTCCCATAATTCATGCCTGGATGAGGCATTGGGTTTTCACTCTAGGAGTGGATCAATCATGGAGGGAAACAAAATGCATCCAGTTTTATCATGCTAATTCCTCCTTCCATCACTTCTTCCATAGTGTTCAAATTGATCGTATTATCTATTCATTTAACTGGAAGTACTTTGGTAGTTCAGTTCCAGGGAATATAGCAGCATTTGATGTTTGTGCTGAGAGCACCCATATGATTCCTTTTCCGCTGGACTTTTCATCACAATGCTCACAACGTATGACTACTGGTTTAGTTATGAGGTCGGCATTAGTTGATCTGGATGGTCGACTGGCCATCGTTCATGTTTCTAAAGGTGATGACAGTAAGTACAACAGTAAGATCATATGGAAGATGGAGAAATGTATGGTGTGGAAGAAGCTTGCAATTGCCATTCCATTGGAGGCGAGTCAAATGTTTAGCCGACGTCTCCTACGTGTTACTACAAATCATTTTGGAGAAGTTATGCTATTCTTAATAGGGAAAAGTAAGAGAAGTAATACCGTATTACTTCTACTTTATAACTTCAAATCACAAGTTTGGAGAAAGTTGGATATACATGGGCTTCTGGATAAACCGTCTCCTTATTTTTGGGACACTGCTGTCATGCACGTCATTGTAGACAATCTCTTTTCTGTTGCTGGAGGATCATCCAACTGCCCTTTGGCATGTGCAGGCTAGTTTGTTGCAGAAGGCACCTGCTTAATTAGATGCAGTAAACTTGTGGACATACTAGATTTTCTTCATGTATTTGTGCTTGCCATGGCTTGAAAATATGTGCTCATAGGAGTCCTCGTTATGTTTATTTTATATTTAATGGTAGCATGCTACTTCTCCAACCAAATATGTGGCTCATACCGCTAATACTCTCTTTGTCTCATTTAAAAGTTCACATTCACCATTCTCTGGTCAATGTGAATTGTTCTTAATCTTTTACTTTATATATCGAACTTTTATCAAATTTAATTTTTCTTGATCTAGTATTATAAACGTTTAATGTAGTTTCTGAATATGTAACTTTTATTTACTAAAAATAATCTTATGAATGATAGAGATCAGTTTACGTTATGATAAGTCAGACATCGTAAATCGTGTGAGAACTTTTAAGTGGGAGGGAGTACAAACATTGTTTTGAATGTAAACAATAAAAAATTGATCCTCCATAAAAAAAATTGATCCTAATTGCCCAATTACTTTTTGTAAATAGTGAATATGTTTTTTTAATGTCAAAGCTATTGATATGGTATAGTTTAAAAAACATTTTTTGATCATTAGGAGGGATTCATTTCATGGTGTCATTGACATACATTAAGATATAACTCATGTATAAACAGATGTACATCTCGCATAAGATAATGTAACTTCATATAATATCAATATAAACAGTGAAAACAAGGAATTTAATTGTTCAATTAATTTACGTAAATAGTGAGTATGTTTTCTTTTTAATATTAACAACATAAAAATGATTTAAAGAAAAATCGCTTTTTGCTATTTTTATCCGCTAGTTCTAACAATCTAAAAGTTTACTAATCCGAAAATATGGCCGCTACTCAATGCGATATCATCAACACCAATTTTCAAAAAATGGAAAAGTTTGAAGGTGTAGAGTTTCGAAGGTGACAGAAAAAGATGCATTTTTGGTGAGAGTGTTTTCACTCACCATAGGTGCTTGTGTTTGATTTTCAAGGTAAGAATAGAAGGTGGGTTAAGGTACAAGTGGAGTCAAAGTGGTGGAGGCTCGAGGGGAATCTCCAACAAAGGTTTCACACAAAATGTTGGAGAAAGATGTATTGTCTATTGATAACGACACACATGTGGATAATGTATGATCAATGGAGTCCACCATTAACAAAGTGGTGAAGAAAATACTCAGAGAATCTATAGGATGTTTGACACCAAAAAAGGACACATCTTGGTGGAATAATGAGGTGAAACAAACAATAAGGTCTAAAGGGGATGCTACAAAAAATTGGGCAAAAGTTGGAGCGACGAGAGCATAGAAGAGTACAAGGATGCTAGAAGAAGAGCAAATAAAGTTGTAAAGAAAGCAAAAGGGAAAATGAACAAAAAATTGTATACAAAATTGAACTCTAAGGAAGGAGCAAACAATATTCATAGAGTTGCTCGCCTTCGTAATCGTAGGACAGGATATAGGAAAAGTTAAATGTGTGAAGGATGTCGATCAAAGGGTACTGATGGAGGACGGGGAAATAAAAGAAAGGTGGAAGTCATACTTTGATACCTTATTTAGCGGGAATAAATCGCAAGGTATTGACAATCTTACTATACCAGTGTATGGTAAATTGAGACTTTATGAGAAGGATCCAAATGATAGAAGTTAAAGAGGCTCTGAAAAAGATGTGGTAAAAGAATGCAATGAGTCCAGATGACATACCAATCGAGGCTTGGAGAAGTTTGGGAGATAAAGGCATCAAGTAGATAACACGTTTCTTCAACATGATCTAGAGAAACAACAAAGTACTAATGAGTTGGCGGAATAGTATTTATTCCCCTGTTTAAAAATAAGGGTGATGTACAAGAATTTATCAACTATCCGAGGGATCAAGCTTATGAGTCACACCGTGAAATTTTGGGAGCGAATGGTTGAGCAAAGACTTCAAAAAAGTGTGAAAATTTTGGAGAATCAGATTGGCTTTATGCTTGGACGCTCAACAACTGAGGTTATTCCTCTTCTTATACAAGTTGTGGAGAAGTAGGAGATGTATAGAGACACTAAAAAGGATCTACATTTGGTGTTCATTGACTTAGAAAAAGCATATGATAGGATATCTCGAAAAGTCTTTTGATGGACCTTAACTAGAAAAGACATATCACATGAGTATATTCTTATCATCATGATATGTATGAGACTTATACTACAAGTGTTCGTACTAGTGTAGGGAGGACCGCAAAGTTCCTTATTACTATCAGAGTGCACTAAGGATAAGCTCTGAGTCCTTTCTTATTTGCTACATTGATAGATGAACTTACAAAGTCAATTCTAGAATATATACTATGATGCATGATGTTTGCTAACGATATTATATTGATTGACGAGACACAATCAAATGTTAAAGCAAAGTTAGAAGTATGACGTCAAATATTAAAGACCAAGAGTTTCAAATTGAGCCAAAGCAAGATTGAGTATATGGGTGGACTCGGGCCGGTTCGGGCCTGGGCCCGGGTGGGCCTCGGTTCAGGAATGGGAGGCCCGGAACCGGCCCGGGTAACACCGGGTCCGGACCGGGCCGGGCCTCAGTTCCATTTTTTTTTGGGGCTTTTCCTAATTAACCCCCAACCCTCCCCCCTCATTCCCAAACCACCTCAAATGGCCCAAAATACCCAGCCCAACCCAAAAACTAAAAAAAAATCAAAAAAAAAAAAAAGAAAAAAAAATTAATTTGGCCCGGACCGGGCCCGAACCGGCCAGGCCGGTTCACCAATCCTAGGGCCCGAACCGCACTCCTACCGGGCCGGGCCGGTTCAAACAGTAACCGGGTTGGGCCGGTTCCGGTCCAGGCCGGGCCACCCGGCCCGAGTCCACCCCTAATTGAGTACATGAACTATTATGAAGTGCAAGTTTGGTGAAGGTAGTAGTAGCAACAATGTGTTATATATTCTTAGAATCTTAGACCAAGGCACACACCATGCTAAATTAGGATTATTTCTAAATACTAAAACAAGTAGTTCAAGCAGCACTATTTTTAGTCTTTAGACCAAAGGAGTTCTTGTATTTGGATTTATACCAGCCATCACTTGTTTTAACTTAATCTTGATCATTCATACTGAACTTGTAAACTGGTATATAAGTATATTGTCTGATTTGTCTCGATGGTGGATGCACATAAATCTTGCGGTTCATGTTCAACAAAACAAGCAAATGAAGAAATATGCATCGCACTCCGTTTAGTGTTGGACCCGGGCCAGGTCAGGCCCGGTCAGGCTTTTGAAGATTGGGGGAAGGCCCAGAACCAACCCGGGGTTCCACCGGGTATGGGCCGGTCCGGTCCGGGCCTCGGGCCAGCTCCTATTTTTTTTCTAGTTAACCGCGACCCCCCCCCCCTCACCCCCCCTCACCCCCCCCCCCCTCACCCCCCCCCCAAAGCACCCCAAATGGCCCAAAACACCCAGCCCAACCTGGGAAAATGAAAAAAAAATTAAAAAGCCCGAACCGGTCCCAATCCGGCCAGGCCGGTTCCATATTTCCATGACCCGAGCCCACTCAACAAAACATCCGGACCGGTCCTACCCGAACCGGGCTCTGGCGGGCCACCGGGCCGGGCCGGGCCCAAACAGTACCGGTCCCGGCCCGGGCCGCCCGGCCCGAGTCCATAACTAACTCCGTTCAAAACTTTTCTCCTATGTAATAAAGGTTTAACATAAGCTAAGACCGATGATAGAACCTAATGAAGGCCTAATTTTTTACAAGGTCTAAAAGAAGTACTGATGTAAAAAAGCATAAGATACAAAATCTATAGATTTCTTTCATGCGGTTCGAGCCATGGAAATCCAAGGAAATCAAATATTTCCTTCTCTGTGTCAAACTTTAAATTAGCACCTTTTAGACCCTGCATCATCATTTTCAGTGATTAATGACAACATAAAAAAGTGAATATCATAAGAGAACAGATATAAAGCAACCATACATGTTTCCCATCAGAATCTTGAGTTGAAGGAAATAATCCTGTATCATCCAATCGGAAACCCTTTGACTGGGCTAATAACCTAAGCCTGCATAAGATGACAGAAAAGCTCAAGTAAACTAAAATTAAATTATATACATCTTCAAAACAATAGAATAAAGTAAATGCAAATCTTTAACTTTTAGCGTATGTTTGGGAGTTTGGAGGGAAGGAGGGGGGAAGGCTTTGGAGGATGTTGGAGGGGAAAAGGTGGGGAGGGTGAGGAAACCCTTCTTTGTATTTGGGAGTAATAAATTTGGAAGAAGAGAAATTTTCAATGAATTATACTCCGTAATAAAAAACCACTTGGAGATATGACGAATTCAAACAATTGAACTGATATATATTTTTAATTGAGTTTAAAATACCATTTCCTTATTTATCCTTCAAAACACTTCAAATTGGGGGAACTCAAAAATTGAGCATTTAGAGGGTTTTGAAAGGTCACTAAAACCCTCCAAAACCATTCTCATCAATTTTATAAACTCCCAAACATGAAAAAGAGGGTCATAAACCCACATCAACCTTCCCTCCCCTCCAAAACCCAACTCCCAAACACACCCTTAAGGTATGTTTGGGAGTTTGGAGGGAAGGGGAGGAGAAAGCTTTGAACGTTAGTTCTAGGAAGAAAATGGGATGGAAAGGGGAGGAAATCCTTCTTGTTTGGGAGTTGCAAATTTGAATAGAGAAGGGCTTTCGAGGAATTATAATTAAAATCACTTTAAAGATATAGCAAATTCAAATAGTTTGAATTTATATTCAATTTAAATTAAGTTAAAGTTATTCAAAAAAAATAAAAAAGTTATCATTTAATCATTTATGTTCAAAATCCCCCAAATTGAGGGAACTTAAAAATTAAGCATTTGAAAGGTTTTGAAGGGTCATAAGAACCCTCCAAAACCATCCCTTCCAATTTTCTAAACTCCTAAACAAGATAGGAGAGGTCATAAACACTCCTAACCCTTCCCCTTCCCTCCAAACACAACTCCCAAACATACCCTTAAGGAAACTATAATGTTCACAGACATAACCAATTGACTGAGAGTTTGATAATGTTTTAGCCTAGCGCCCTAGCAGGCTCAGTCATGCTAAAGCTGATTTCCACCACACTATTGAGATGGTCTGAACTCCAATGTTGCACAATAGTAAACTGAAGCACCGAACAGGCCAAAATTCCAATTAGAGATAGGTTAAAGCTTTATTCCACCTGGGTTTAACTTTATGGAGTTGGTTTTGTACATTCAACAATCGAACTGAGCTTGGTTCTTTAGCAGCACTATCTCAAAGAGCACTTCATGAGTTCAAAATGATACTATAAATTTAGGGTAATACTAAAACAATTGATTCAACTAAATAAGAGACACTCGTTGAAAATTTACTTTCAGGATGATTTATCACGAGGAGATTCAAAGATTAGGAACTAATGTCTTCAACTTGGAATGGACATACCTCCTGTTTAGGACATCATTCCCCGTCCAATGTACTAGACCAAATGCATATATATTTCTTGGATACACCTAAAGACAAATGGATTAGTTGCATGCCTACTAAAACACAATGGCTACTTTAGCAAATTAAGACTTGGAGAGAAGAACAATTGTATATAATAAAGAACTACCCAATAGTGGCAGTTGGACTGTCAAGAACCAAAGACACATGAATTTGCATATTAACCAGCAGTTAATTCTGAAAAAATCTTTGAAAAAGGGAAGAATAAAAAAAACTTTTCTGCTTGCTCATTTCTACTAAAGAACTCAATTGGTTGCATCAAATGAAATGGGGACCAATAACTAGTCCATGAAGGGAAATGAAACTGGACGGGGGCGAAAATTTGCACAAAACCACATTGTAATTAGATTAACCCAAACCTCATGTGTACCTTCAAGTCAATGCGGCGCCGTAGCTCTTCACCAGGACAAGTGCAAAGTCCGAAATAGGTGTCTACTCCTGCTTCTGAGTTCTGTTTATTTGATTACTAGTTACTCAGGGTACATGGTAAAATGAAACAAAAATTATCTGAAAACATTAGCCAGAAACATAAATTTAACATATTTGTCTGGATGACCACATATATGGCGTTAAAATGTCTGTTAATTTCAAAAAATGAAACAAAGAGAGGTTGCTCCTCAATATACATCTTGACCACTTATGCTACTCAAAGTCCAAGATACATAAAAAAAATAATAATTAAATAAATAAATAGATGCACACACATAAATACACACATACTAATGGGTATTTTACCTCTTCGCTGTGAATACTGAAGATCAAATCATCCCTCAAAAACTTCATTTCTTTGAGACTCTTTACATATTGTGCAAGAAAACCTATATGACTGAAGAAGTACATCAGAAACATCATACTTTTTAGTAGGATTATTGGATTAAAAATGCTGGGAATTAAGCATTGCGGCTTCCCATTTCAACTCTAAATGAATGGGTATATACATGCCAGACCTTTGAAATCAGAAAAGATAACTTGATCAATAGGATTGAAGAGATAACCCCCCCCCTGCCCCCACCCCCCTGTTTCTTATTTTACCTTTCTCCATCAGGATGAGTGATGACAACGTCCATATCCCCACAAGATGCCTTTCCACGCCTATATGACCCTCCACAGACAATAATTACCTGTAATACTGTGTTGGTACTTTGGTAGTAATGGATGAACAACATAAATAAAGAATACGAGAGGTGGCAGCTTGGCTTCAGGCATAATAAATGAGGAAATAAAAAAGATTTCCCATTCAAAGGTATGATCAACTGAAATTGTTGGATTCTCACAAAGGATAATTTTAAGAAACCAGATTAAGTTTGTTTCAGAAGTCAGTGTTGGGTGGTGAACAGTCAGAACTTTTATGCCTTAGGCTCCTCGCAGCACATTTATGAGATCTTATATGTTTCTTACTTTCTGTATCTACCTTCATCAGCATCCTACCACATTGTTAAATTTTAAAAATAGTCATATTCCTAGGAAAATGCAGAATAAAATTCAACCAGAGTTCTAAAGCAATATGCTCCATGCAGCACATTAAAATTACCACCACACATATTCGTAATTGTTATTATTATCACTGTAATAGTGTAATGCTGCAGAAGCCATAACTTCAAAACTTTGCACATTTTCCAAGAAAGGACATTGGTCAGTACAATTGACAATTGAAACCAATCAGTTGGATACAAACAATGCTTACCCCAGGTAAAATCTCTTGTGCAACCTTCTGCAGAAGTTGGTCCATGATTTCAACCTACAAGATTTATTAGTCAGATAGAAAAACAGTACTGGTTTGCGTTATGATAAAAAAGAAAATGAAGCTCACCTCATGACGTGGAATTCTTGTTTTGATGTCATGAAAATACTTCAAGCCTAATCTTTGTGCATTAGTAAGTGATTCTTCACTTTTGAGGTCATCTAAAGTCCGGTACCCTTTCTCATAAAGTTTTAAGGCAGTTGCTGGGCCAACACCCCATACTTCTCCAAACAAGCTGATCGTCCGTACCTGAGGAATTCTAAGGATGTCAGTTTCCTAAATAAGCATTAGAACTTGAACTGCTTCAGTGTTAAGTCTACCACAAGAGGATATATAGATCGAATATGGCATGAAATATAATCATGATTAAGGAAACCCATACTCAAGTATTAGTTGTCATATGACGCAACTCATTAGCAAACTATTGCATAAACAATTCAAGAATTCGTGCCTTGAGAAATACATCTTTAACACAAGATCACTTACTTCAACCATCATTGAGCCTTCGGCAATGGAAACAGAAGAGAAAAATCTCAAGTGTACCTTTTCGTCCTGCTCAAAATGCTCCAACTTGGCCAGCTTTCCTGTGTTCACTATTTCCTGAATCTAACATTAAGAAAATAATTGCCTCTTATCTTCAATCAGTTTAATTTATAATGAAAGCACAATCTCTAATGGAAATGCAATTAACATAGAGGATACTACCAGGCCAGAAAATAAAAGCTTAGAAGCAATCATACTGTTTACTCACATGTTCTTGCAATGACTTTCCAATACCAGGAAGGTTTTGAGCCTGGTCGACACTTTCAATTTTGAAAGGGAGTTTCTCAATAACTGGGATGGCTTTGTAATAGCTAAATGACCTTCGATCATCACCAAGTGCTGTCATTGAGGGTTTTGTTGTTTAGCATATACTTCTAAGTTTCTAGCAAGCTTATGCCAATATGCCATAATTCCTAAGTATAAAAAACAATGGCAAGAGCACAGAAGTTTTACCCCTATAAATGTCAACAAGTTTTCCAAAAGTCTCGGTAATGTTCTTGTTTAAATTGGGAGGCAGATAAAGCACTGATGATTTTGATGTTTCGGCCTGTTTAATGATCACACAGGTCACAAGTCACGTGTCAAAATAAGAAAACCCTGAAACCAGAGATATGAAAGAAAGATAAGCACAGACTCCAACAAAGTAACAAGATATGCTGGAATCTTTTCTTCTTGGTGCAATAGGAAGAAAAATAAACCACAGATTTTTTTACAGTAACTTGGCATTTATATGAATGGAGGGTGGGCTTAGTCTATATTTTGATAAATATTTGAGATTTAATAAAAATTGAAAGATTTACACACTATGCAATTATATAACATTTCAATCACCATTTATTTGCTATCAGGAACACTCTATTATCAAGAATTCAAAGTAAATAGCCCTCTAAAGCCTTTGCCTACAAACCCCTCCATCCAAACAGGCCCTTAGGGAGAAGGGAATGCCTATTTTTACGGCCTCTCCACAAGGATAAAGAACCTCATTGATGATTTCCAGGCTTGATGAGCATTCATAGTTGGACGCAACATCTACTAACTGATGCTCAAAGTGGTCCTCTGTATGAAAATTGTCCTCGTGATTCACTATATTGGTACCCTCAGAAGAGATCCTGCACTTTTTCGGTGTAAGCTCATTATTGCTACAATCACTTCTAATGTCTTCCTTGAGAGTATCTTTGCTCCCCGCTGATTCAAGAGATACAGTGTACAAATCTTCAGACACCCTTTCACCTTTTGTCAAACTGTCTTCCACCCACTGATATAACAGCACTCTCTGAGTTGGCATATAATGACCAAAACAACAAAAGTTCAGACACTTTGTCCAAATACTAGTTTCAAATGGGAACAAAATTTAAGAATGACAGAACTTCTGAAACTCTACTGCTACACAGTCAATCAACAAATCACTTCACTTTCCACTATGAATATTGTGCAAATCATTGTTGTAAAAACACAGGTGCCTGCTATCGAGCACATTGGGTCCTAACGCATTGTTGGCAAATATTGTGGTGAGACAGGATGTGAGTGGAGTTAGCGAGGCCTAAGCGAGAACAATATTAGGTGTCCAAGGAGAGTCTAGTGCTTAGACGGGATAATTAGGGATAGGGGAGATTTTTGCAACAATGATCTAAATACTGAAAGTCCACATTGATAATGTGGTATCATCAGGGGCATATCCACCATGGGGGCAGCTGCCCCCAGTGGACTTTTTTAAAAAGATATTAAACGACGTCATTTTGGCATTTGGTTAAAAATAATTATAATTTGTGAGAAATTCTAATCCCTTAGAAAGAAAAAACATTTACTGTTAGAAATGCAACCTCACAACGGTTTGAGAATATGAAAGAACGTAGAAGAGTACGCAGAACCTTCTAAAAAAATTCTTTCATATTCAAGGTAAGTTTGAATGTTTTATCTCAAAATATTTTATCAATTAAATGGTGCGTAGTATTTTTTATGTTTGGGTAAATACTTTTTATACTGTAGTCCTTTATAATCTCACATCCTTTGAGTACAAATTCTAGATATGCCTCTAGATATCATCACCTAATTTATCTTTAAGTTTCAAATCAGACTAGCCTAAACATCATAATGCTAAATTGCAATAAATGGACAGAAAAAACATATTCCTGGAAGTATATGATCATAGTAGTCTACTTTTGCACTTAAAGCTCCATACCACAGATGGAAAAACCTACCCACATGCAAATTTCAACACGAATTCATGAAAGAAACGAAACATTAATGTCATGGGATAAGAGCTTACAGCTTTGGACCTAATAACGCGTTTGTGATCAAGTTTCTTTAAAAGGATATTAGCATTTGCAGCAAAAACATGAGTGACATTTTTCGAAAACTTTGCCTCAATGCTAGCCCCCATTTGTGTCAATCTCTGCTTCCATATCTATCCGTAAAACAGATTCCAAAAGTGAACAAAGGAAAACGAAAGAAATAAACATTCAGTTACGAAGTACTCCGTATTTTTTAACAGACAGGAGTTGAAAACACCTGTAATCGGCGAGTTTGGACTCCGTCTTCAACTAAGAAGACTACCATTCTGCTGAACATTCCATGAGGATCACCGAGTGGAGATTTAATCTTCCTTGGCGGCATATTTGTGTCAAGCTTCGAGAGTAAAAAATGTCAGAACGGGTGAGAAAGAAAAGGAAAAGGGAAAAGGGGCAAATTCCCCTTGAAGTTACTACTAAAGGGCATCTAAGCCCTTAAAGTTAATTTTGGAGCAAATAACTCCTTTTTCCATCAAAAAGGGGCATCTCCCCCCCTCTAACGGCAATGAACATACGGAGTAGAGTACTTAACGATTTGGGTTGACCGGTTGAGAACGTGTGGTACATGCAAATACCCCCAAAAATTTTCTCTAGCTATATAATTATAAGTTTATAACATCGAAGTCTTTTTTTAACAAATATGTGAAATAACATGAGTCAAATTAACTAACTAAATGTCAAATAATAGAGTTAGGATATTTTTAATTGGATTGAATTTTTTTGATGTGATGTAATTTGGTCTAATCAATTTTTGTCTGATCTGACGTGATTTGTTTTAAAAGTTTTTATTTAGACTTATTTCAGTATTAGACAAGATCAGACCTGAACAACCCTGACTAGACATAAATAGATTAGACCTTGAGAAATTATAAAATACTCAGAAATAAGAAATCTACCGAACAAGACAAAATAGACCAATTCAGACCAGGCCAAATCAGATTAGAGGTAAGGGGACCCCAAAATCATCACAAAACACATCCCAACTCATATTTCTTCTTTGTGAGCAAATGTCTTAAATTAACGTGGCAAATTTACTAGCCGATATGTTGAATTATAGAGTTAGGGAATTTTTAATTAGACTGAACTTTTTTTTTATTTGATCTAGTTGATCTGATCAATTTTAGTCGGGAGCTGGTTTGGTCTAAAATTTTAATTTATACGTAGTATTACTTGTACCTCTGTCTGATTTAAAAGTTCATGTCCACTATTCTGTGGTCAATGTAAACTACTCCCCCCGTCCCCTTTTAATTCAACTTTTATTGAAATTAAATTTTATTTTATTAAGTTTATAAAACTTTTAATGTAGTTTGTGGATATGTATATCTTCATATTATTTTCATAATCTTTTTATAATTAATTTTAATTTTTTATTATAAAGAAAATAGAATTCCTTCTGAAATTATTAAGCAGTTCAATATATTTTCTTGATTTTTACCGTATATCTTCAATAAGTTAAACGGGAAAAACATTATGGTATGATAAAGAAGATAAAGTAGTTTTTACATACTTTTAATCTTTATAATATATACATTAGAAATCTATGATAAGTCGAGAAGATATACTGTACAATAATTTGGGAGGAATTTTATTATTTTTAGTAATAAATGAATACAAATAAATTGTTTATGGATTATAATATATAAATAATATTAATAACATTTCATAGCAGACGAGATGAATGATTTTTTTTTTCAATTGAAATTTTATGGTTTGATCTAATCTGATTTAGCCTTGTCTGAATTGGTCTAGTTTTGTATTGTTCAATAGATTTCAGGTTTCTGAGTATTTTATAATTTTTCGTGGTCGAGTCTATTTTTTTCTAGTCAGATTTGTTCAGGTCTGATCTTGTCTAAGACTAAAATAAGTCTAAGTAAAAACTTTTAAAACAGATCAGACAAAAATTGATTAGACCAAATTACATCACATCAAAAAAATTCATTCCAATTAAAAACATCCTAACTCTATTGTTCAACATTTAGTTAGTTAATTTGTCACATGTTTATTTAAGACATTTGCTCACAAAAAGTATAAACTTAATGAATTTAGTTAGAGAAAATTGTGGGGGTATTCTTTATATTTTCTCTCTATTAAAAAATAAAAAAAATACACGAGAAGATAGAATGATGCATCAATGCACGAGAGTTGCAGGTAGCTAGGTCTATCAAACGATTGTTTCATTTATTTCTATGAATCAAAAAACCTATTTGGATAATAGACGGAGTCTTTTTTTGTTTTGGATAATTCTCAACCAAGCTTAAGTACTCCGTAAGTTCATCACCGTTAGAGAGGGGGGAGAATGCCCTCTTTTAATGGAAAAAGGAGTTTTTTGCTCTAAAATTAAGTTTAAGGGCTTAGATACCCTTTAGTGGTAACTTCAGGGGGGGATTTGCCCCTTTTCCCAAAGGAAAATGTGTAGATGACTTATACACCAAACTCCCTACTTACTTGCGTACACCATAATGGTCCGAAAGAAAAACAAGAATAAAAACGAGAGCCAATGTTCTCAAATAAAGTAAGATTTCAAAGTATGCAAAACTTCGATATGCAGTACAAATAATGTAAAGATGCACACTGTGAATTTCAATATGCAATACAAATGATATGCAACACTTTGAACTTTAATATGCAGTACAAGTAATATGCAACACTTTGAACTTCAATATGCAGTACATATAATTTATAGATACACAGTTTGTAATAGTTTGTAGGTTAGCATGGGAGGACTAGTTTGCATGTGATCTCACCCCGATATATATATACTAGTTTTCAACACGCGCGTTGCGCGATTGAATAACATGCCCAATGTATTTTTACTGAGAAAAATGTATATTGTATTTTAATTTAATATGATTACTTTTAGAATTTGAGATGTTAACACTTGCATCAATTCAAAAAAAGAGTATTCAGTGTCCCTTCATAATAAAGAGGATCCAAAAATAAATAAATAAAAATGCAAACACACAATAGGCTAGACCCTATTTTCCTAGTTTCACAATAAAAGCAGCATTAGCAAAGTGAGAAATATTTGTTGAGAAATTAGTCAAAAATATGATCTAATCTCACCAAACATGATAAAATTCAAAGAATCAAACAAATACAAGAACATTAACCGGTTGAGGAGAAACCAAACGTTGATGGTGACGTTGTAGAAGATGATGAAGCCATTATTCATAGGTAGATTCTCTAAGCATACAAAATCCCTTTGTGATGGATTGACCGGTTCTCATTTGAGTCTCTTTATAATGGTGTTGTGAAGACCATTAGGAAGAGGCGTGCATCTTCCCTTCTGTCGGAAGAATTGGAACCAATATAAACTTATTTATTTTATAGGAAAAATTGAAAATAATAATTCCAACTATTGCCGGTCCGCTAACAATAATCCAAACTATTGATTATTTTTGTATAATCTCAACTATATAGACCGTCCGCCAATAATGGTCCATGACCAGATATTACCTCCTATAACAAGTGAATTTTAAATAGAAATTAAGTGTAAAAACTAAAAGTTGTGATTATTTATAAGGATTACTTGCTATTTCTCATCTCATCCACTTTAGAAACTACAAGAATTATTCATATGGACCACTAATGGCTAGAGGTCCCTAAAGTTGCGGAATGGTATTATTCCGCAAAGCGAACATTCTTGCCACTTCTATCTAAAGTGCATTACAAAAGTTGCTCATCAAAATAGTATGAGCTCATATTTCAATACTCTTTTTTGGTGAACACAAGTTATTCTATTATCAAGTGCTCATCACTCATCAGTTAATAGTAATACATCTACCCTATTTTAGATGTTTTGCTTTGATTTGGCACAATTATTAATAATAAAGTGATTGAAAAGGTAAAAGATGCAACTCAGATTTGAGTATAATAAAGTGAAATATTGTGATAAAAGACAAAAACGATCGAGAGCAAGGAGCAAAAGTCCCTCTCATTTCTTCTTTTTTACCCTCTGCTCGTATTTCTTAATTCATTTTTTCTTTTTTATTTGTGAAGTTATATTTATTACAATTCCATCATATTTGTCTAGGTTATTTTATTAACTAATGTGTATTTCAAAGTTCTTACTTTTACAAGGTATGTATTCATATTTGTTGTGATTTGAGGCCGGGTCTTTGAATCTAGAAAGAATATAGATTAAGATAGAGTCCCTTTCGTCACACTAAAATTAGTTGATTTAGCCGAAATTTAGAAAGTTCTATCTGAATTGGCTGATTGTATGGATTTATGAAAAAAATATTATTAAAATAAAGAAAGAATTCTACGAAAATAACTTAAATGACCACCTAGAGTAACTTTAGCCAATTAATTCGAAAAATAACATCAACTTTAATTATTTTGATTATTATACAATGCAACGCGTGAAACCAAAAGTTACGTTTTTCATGAAAAAATTGACTGATAAAACCGATAACGCAACAATTAAAAAAGTCACCAACAGGGCTCTAAATCGATATATTTGATAGCAATCTCCCTTTCGAATATAATAAAAAAGATTATTGATTGAATCCTTATCAACTTTGTTATTCTCTTATCACTTGATTGAAAATAACTAAAACTTTTAATGCTTAAAAACCCATTTATATATGATCTAATTCATTAGAATTATGCTATTGATTGTATTTGAGAGAATGAATAATGGAATGTCTACTCTTGTGAATAAATGTTTAGAATGACATATTAAAAAAGGTAGATTATATGGTACCCATAAGGTACCATACCTTTGTCCACATGGACCAATGAGAATGTAGCAGTTGAATTATTTAAATCTAAATTAAAACTGATAAAATGATGTGGTCCAATCAAATGAGTGGTAGGTACGGTACCACATTTTTTAAAAGGGTACCGAAGTTGTCACCATTAAAAAAATATAAAAACATCATGACATTTACATGCATCAATGCAATTTATAATAATTACACTTAAAATGAGTGGTGAAAAATGCTAACTACCATTATTACGTATTATTATTTGAAACAATGGTTAATTGGGTATGATAAGAAAATACATATGCGCTATATACATAAAAATGCACAATATACCACTAATAAAAGTACGTTCGAAAAAAATAAAACAATATTTCTATTTGATGTTGTACATACTTGCGGCCAAGGAAATGAGGCTAAACGCATAATTAAAATGGCTAGATGCCTAAGGGGCTGAAAGACTTAATTTTGACGGCAGTAGTCAAGTAACGGAAGAAAAGAACAATAAAAATATTTGGTATAATGATAGAAGCATAATGTACAAGAGTATGTTGCTTTGTGTTACACCAACACATTTAATATACCAAAAAGACCCTAACCTTCATTCATGTTTATAATATTTTAGATATATATATGTGTGTGTGTGTGTATGTATATATATATATGTGTGTGTGTGTATGTATGTGTGTATATATATATACACACACACATATACATACATACATACATATATATATATATACATACATATATATATATATACATATATATATATATAT